AATTTCGTAACTATTATTCTATACACCCTTTTTTCTTAATCTAGGGATTTTTCAATGCACATGGTTATATAGTAAAATTTTCTCAGATGATTTATTCTTCTTAAAACTTTTTCTTTCGTAATTTCGTAACTATTATTCTATACACCCCTTTTTCTTAATCTAGGGATTTTTCAATGCACGTGGTTATATAGTAAAATTTTCTCAGATGATTTATCTTTCTTAAAACTTGTTCTTTCGTGAATTCGTAACTATTATTCCATACACTCTTTTTTCTTAATCTTTTCCAATACACGTGGTATATAAGTAGCAGAAGTTCTGGTCAACGAAGAAAAAGAACTAATGAAACGCCCTGTTGAATATTTTGTTGAAACGAAAAACGAAGTAAATAAGTTGCATTACCTCGGACTCGAGAGAGTCCGTGTCGATGGCGTCCCTGTCAAAGTCACGTTCCTCCGTAATGGCGACCAAATCCCCGAGATACACCATTTTTCGCATATTCTCTCCAATTTCTATGATAATTATCGATCGTGGAACTGGAGAGGTTCGATCGTTCGGTATCCAACCTCAAATCGTGAAATATTTTTCTCGTCACGCGATCACCGATTCCATTTCAATTTGTCCACGCGAAAAAAAATCGTGCCACGTTTTTTTTTTAACGGTTCTTCTTCTTCTTTTTTTTCATCGGAAGAGACCAAGTCGATGTTTATTTCGTCTAAAACTTTTTCGTGAAATCTGATGAAAAAAGTTATACAACAGAGGGAAGGAGAGATTTTCCCTGTATTCTTTTTATATTCTTTCTTAAAGGAGGCGTAAAAATTGAAATTTTCAAATTTATATTTTCCCAGCCACATCAAATATTTCTATCGAACATTTGTAATCAAATATCATCGAATATGAATTAAGTTTTAAAAATAGAAACGGAATGACGCGCGGACAATTTAAAAATTCTTAACGTCGCATATTCCTACGTCAATGGAATAACGCGATCGTTCGAATCGCGATTGATATTGATGTCGTACGAGAAACTTGGCGCTATAAATGTATCATAAATTTCGTCATTTAGACCGTCGTTCATAATAACTCGTATGATTCACAATAAAACATACATATTGATCGTAAGGAGAATTAATGGTTGTGGAAAAAGTTTGATCGCGGAATAATCACTTTGTAATTGCACGATCAATCACAAACTTAAATTTTATATCGTTAAAAACTTATACGTAAAAATATTCTTGATAGAGAACCTTATATTCAAACGTCAAATTGCACAGACGAAATACTGAAATATTTCTTTCGCATTATTATTAAAAAAAATCATTTTCAAAATCTATTTCCTCCTCAAAGATAATCCTTCTACTTTCACATTATACATAAATTCACAATTATTAGTTTTAATCTTTTCTATTCCTTTTTCAAAATGCATCATTCTTAAAAAGAATCGCGTGCACGCAAATCGTTAAATCGATAACGATGAACAAATTGAAAGAATGGCATGGAAGGAAAACGAGAAGGAAACGAGGCAAAACGTCGTTTCCACGTAGCGGATGCGTTTCGTGTATTGCGCATCGGCGATCCAAAGAAAGAAAGGAGGGAAAAGGGAACGAGGCGAGAAAAAGACGACAAAAGAAGTTGAAGGAAAGAGAAGTTTCACGCGTCTCACGTTCTCTTTGGACACGGGTTAACTAAGAAAGGGAACTTTTCCTGCAGCGTTAGGGAAAACTCGGTTTATAAAGTGGCTTTCGATGAGAAACTTGGATGATTTAGCTCGATACACATAGACACGGGGGATTTGTAACAAATTTTATTAATAGAGATCGGTCTTTTTACAGCGGTTCCCAACGATATGGAATTACTCTCATGGGTAGAAAAGGCGGCCATCACGTATCGTCTATCAATTTCGTTTCGAAAAGTCGTTTCGCGCGGAGAAATTGGCGAAATTCTATTCGCGTTAACATCGACTCTGCTCTCGAATTTGATACTTGAATTTTTCAACGAAATTATTAGATATTCGGGACGAATAAGAAAGAAAATTTGGTTTATTTAAATATACGATGGTAATTTTAGAAGAAAAAAAAAAATGGAATGTTTGGCAAAATTCGTCAAAAAATTAATTAAAAAATCAGTGCTGCGAATTATTAATAAGTAAAAAAAGAAAGAAATAGAATTTTTTCAAAAGAAGAATTTTTGAGGTTAAGAAATTCTAACCTAACTTTTTAATCAAGAATACGTGAATTCTCTAGAACAAATTAATATAAATTCAAGACTTTTGATCGATGCCATCCATAAGTCTCTTCCTTCGACAATATATTTTTCTATTTAATTTTAGACAAAAATTTGACACCAATTGATTTCGATAACAATAATCCCTTGCGTCGATAGAATTTTTTCAAAGAAGAATTTTTGAGGTTAAGAAATTCTAACCTAACTTTTTAATCAAGAATACGTGAATTCTCTAGAACAAATTAATATAAATTCAACTTTTGATCGATGCCATCCATTAGTCTCTTCCTTCGACAATATATTTTTCTATTTAATTTTAGACAAAAATTTGACAACAATTGATTTCGATAACAATAATCCCTTGCGTCGATAGAATTTTTGAGGTTAAGAAGAAATTTTCGAAACCTAACTTTCAAGTTTATGATTTCTTTCTAGAACGAGTTGGTAAATTCGAAGGTTTTAATCGTTAAACTCCACAGAACCTTATCATCCATTAATCTTCCCCTTCGACGATTCATTTTCTCTCGCCTTCCAGACACGTTTCATTTTCACGTTATTAGACCGATCTCGACACCGGTCTTTTACACTCTCCTCGTACGCCTTTATTACGCACCACCTCGTAAATAATTCTGGGACGAAGAAGATAAGGACATATCTAACGAACTGGTTCCGACAAATTAGAGAGTTCGCAAGAAAGTGATTAAGGGAATCTCTACGCCCCTGCAATTATCGGGTATGCGTACTACGATTATTGTTCCCATTAGTAATCAAATTAATTGAAAGTGTGGCACGTGCTTTTGAGAAATTACAACGCAAGTATAAAGCGCGTTGGAAAGGAAAATAACGGGCCCGGTGCTCGGTCTGACGCAACATCATCGTCCTCGGCCACCATCTTGGTCTTCGGAAGAGCGGGATGGATCGTTGCGCGCGCGCGCTGGATGACCGGATAATTAGCCAATTCTAATTAAATACCTCAACTTGTTCATCCTCGTTAAAATGTTAATTAAGATAGGTTAGAGATTTTGAAGATTATGAAACGTAATTTTTTTGGGAAAAGAATATATACGTTTGAGAATTGTTCTAATATTTTCTCTTTTATCACTCAATTCTTTTTTTAAACGTATATTTAAATAATCCACTTCTTCCTTCGCTTAATCCAACACAAATCCTCTATAATTCATAGAATGTGTTAAAAATTCATTCCACTAGATACAACAAAATTGCCTAATTCTTTTGGAAAAGGAGTATATATATTCAAGAACTGTTCTAATATTTTCCTTCCTCCTCTTTTATCATTCTCTTTTTTTGAACGTATAATTTAAATAATCCACTCCTTCCTTCCCTTAAACCAACAAAAATCTTCTATAATTCATAGAATGTGTTAAAAATTCATTCCACTAGATACACCAAAACTGTCTAATTCTTTTGGAAAAAGAATGTTCTAATATTTCCCTTTCTTCTTTTTGTTTTTCAAGCATACGTTTTAATACAATCCACTTCTTCCTAATCCACACACAAATCCTCTGCAACTCACAGAGCAAATCTTAAAAATTCATTCCACCGATCACCAGATACACCAAATAACAAGAACATCGTGTTTCTTTCTCCTTCACGCGGAAATCATCGCACTCTCCAACTCCGTTAACCGCAAGAGAATTATTCCTTTCCTCCGCATCGATTAAATTACGGCCATTGGACTTATCTGAGTCGGAGGACACGGTACGAAACTTCGCAACGATTTCGGCCTGGAGATTTGGTTTCCGGCTC